TACAGTAGCTTTGATTGAACTTAATGGAAAAAAAAAACAATAAACTTGTAAACATTTTGTAAAGTAACCAGAGCACTGAATTAGTAAAGTATAACAAAGTTTATTTGTAAATATAATATCCTCACTTACATCAAGGCAAAGAACCAGCAGCTTCCAAAGTAGAAGGGTAATTCCATACAATGTGAGCAGACACAGACTGCTATGACAGAGACCCGAGCAGCTGGAGTAGTCTGGAGCTGAACCCGCCAAAACAGAGAGACACCAGCAGCTATTGACTGCCTCCCTTTTGCTCTGAGATTGTTTGGCTGATTCTTTGCCTTGATGTAAGTGAGGATATTATGCTTACAAATAAAGTTTGTTACACTTTACTAATTCAATGCTCTGGTTATTCTGTTTCCTTTACAATCTGCTTTGGATCCTTCCCAGATCTGGTTTACAGGATCTGCAAATTACAGTCCGACCTTCTTTTCCCTTGATGGCTTCCACTCACCGTTGCTTTGATTTGCCTTAAATCCCAGGTCTTGTAGATGTGGTTTGATTCAGCTACAAGCAGGGGTGGACTGACAACTCATGGGGCCCCCGGGCAATAGGGGGATCATGGGGCCCCTGTGTCCTTGCCCAAACTCAAAAAAGGCTATGAAAAAGGTACCAGGGGCATCTCATGGGGCCCCATACTGACCCAGGCCCTCGGCCAGTGCCCGAGTTTGAAAATGGTCAGTCCGTCCCTGGCTACAAGTATAATGTGTGCTATATGTCCACATCCTTACATTAAGCATATACAAATGAAAAATGGTAGTAGCATGGGACTTTTTGAGGAACATATACAGTATCTCACAGAAGTGAGTACACCCCTCACATTTTTGTAAATATTTTATTCTATCTTTTCATGTGACAACATGTACATCTTGTATAACAGTGTAAATTTGCTGTCCCCTCAAATAACTCAACAGACAGCCATTAATGTCTAAACTGCTGGCAACAAAAGTGAGTACACCCCTAAGTGACAATGTCCAAATTGGGCCCAGTTAACCTTTTTCCCTCCCCGGTGTCATGTGACTACAAGGTGTTAGTGTTACAAGGTCTCGGGTGTGAATGGGGAGCAGGTGTGTTAAATTTGGTGTTATCACTCTCACTCTCTCATACTGGCACTGGAAGTTCAACATGGAACTCTCTGCAAAGAACTCTCTGAGGATCTGAAAAAAAGAATTGTTGCTCTACATAAAGATGGCCTAGGCTATAGGAAGATTGCCAAGACCCTGAAACTGAGCTTCAGCATGGTGGCCAAGACCATACAGTGGTTTAACAGGACAGATTCCACTCAGAACAGGCCTCGCCATGGTCGACCAACCAAAGAAGTTGAGTGCACGTGCTAAGCATCATATCCAGAGGTTGTCTTTGGGAAATAGAAGTATGAGTGCTGCCAGCATTGCTGCAGAGGTGCTCAGGCCATAAGCTGCACACTGCATCAAACTGGTCTGCATGGCTGTTGTCCCAGAAGGAAGCATAATAACCGCAAACACACCTCCAAGACAACCACTGCCTTGCTAAAGAAGCTCAGGGTAAAGGTGATGGACTGGACAAGCATGTCTCCAGACCTAAACCCTACTGAGCATCTGTGGGGCATCCTCAAATGGAAGGTGGAGGAGCACAAGGTCTCTAACATCCACCAGCTCCATGATGTTGTCATGGAGGAGTGGAAGAGGACTCCAGTGGCAACCTGTGAAGCTTTGGTGAACTCCATGCCCAAGAGGATTAAGGCAGTGCTGGAAAATAATGGTGGCCACACAAAATATTGACACTTTGGCACCAATTTGGAAATTGTCACTTAGGGGGTATACTGACTTTTGTTGCCAGTGGTTTAGACATTAATGGCTGTGTGTTGAGTTATTTTGAGGTGACAGTAAATTTACACTGTTTATACAAGCTGTACACTCACTACTTTACATTGTAGTATAGTGTCATTTCTTCAGTGTTGTCACATGAAGAGATATAATAAAATATTTACAAAAATATGAGCGGTGTACTCACTTCTGTGAGATACTGTAGATGAGAAGAGAACACTGCATATAAAGAACACTGCATATATAAACCATACATGTTATTGAAATATTTAATAAAGGAAAAAAACACAGACCAAAAATTTAAATATTGTGTATAGCATTCAGTTATTGTTTAGATCCAAAACACTCCGCATGTAGATTTGATGCTTTTCAATGGGTAAATCTTCTTCAGGAGTACATGTGAACAATCAGCATGATGAAACCCATGATTCTCATTGTGATGAACTCATATATTTACTGGAATTCTAAAAAAGTGTGTGTTGTCTCTCTTTACCATGTGGGAGGAGAGAAAGGAGGCTAGGAAGCTCTCATACAGTAGGTTTAATGCGAATGGTGCAGAAAGCCCTCAATGGTCACCTAACATCCAATTAAATGGACACATCAAATGAAAAATAAATGTATCTTCATCCATATTTAGGCAGAGTATGGATGGCTTAGGGTTTATCCTATAATAAAACCCTTCACGATGTCTGGGGGATAGGCAGCTAAAGATTAGCAGAGATCAAATGAGTAAGTATTCATTTCCAGGATATCCTGCCTTTCACATACAAAGTTCCAGTGCACAGTCACCCTTCTGTTACTGAATGTTTGAATAAAATGTAAGTTTTTTTATATACTGTATGCAATGTTATCTTCTCTTTTCTATATGTTCCTCAAAAAATCCCCCACTTTTTGTTTGTATATGGTTTGATTTAGCTACAAACTGACATTTTCGGGTTGCTTTATACTCACTTTGACCTGTGGATCCATTACCATGTGTTTACAGTGACTTCACTGCTAATTGCATTGTTTTCTCTCTGTACAGCCACAAATTGACAGCTATAGAATGATCAAACATTCATTTTGAGCTGCATATTTCCTGACGCATGTTCACTGCCACTTCATTGCCAATTGCATCGTGTGCTCTCTACAGCATTTGTTTTTTGTTGTTGTTTTTTTGCAAATTACACCAAAAAAGATTGTTCCTTAGTTTGCTAACCTGCATTGGAAGATGCAATCCCACTGGTTGCTATATACAAAGAAGATCATATTTTTCTTCCAGCCCTGGTATACAAAACAATGTATCCCAATTTTCTTAAAAATGCTAAATTCTTTATTTTACTGAAGTTTGTATAATTTTTACCTAAAGGAAATGAAAGCAAGTAACCATAAATAACGGTTTAAGCAAATGCTAGCAGGAGAGCCATTTCACTGACTCTAGTATCCAGAAATTGCGCTTTACCTCTCCATGAACTCCTTCTTTGCAGTCAAAGTAGCACTGACACACACAGCAGTGTAAAGCGTCGCCCTCCATTTCAGGTAGTGAAGAGACAGCAAGGGAACTGATGATTCCATACACACACTTGCCCATAAGAGGAACTCTAGAGCCTTTAAATAAAGAGATACACAAGGTACAATGTTTACTCTGCTAACAAAGATTTGCCATTTATTGGTCCTTGAATTACAATAACAAATTCATTTAGTGTCACTATGTAGTAAATGATGCAGTAAATGCATTACAGTCTAACAGTTAGATTTATTATTTTATATAAGCTCTGATAAAAGTGTTTACAAAGATCAACAAAGCAAATACTACCAGTGGTTCTTCATATCGAACATTACCTATTTTGTCCACTAGAGGTCCCCATAGGATGATGTTTTACAATTCAACCACAAGATTGCATCTCTCATGAAAGCCTTTGGCAGACAGAAACTGATGACCTGAATTTGTTTTACGGCATAAAAATATCCCTTTAGTTCATGATCCTCATCCATATTTGTGACTGCTCAAGAACTGATTTATAGCACATCGTGTGCATGGGAAATATCACCTTCTAATGGCTCCTAAACCCAAAGTCAGTTGTATGAGTTCCTGTCCTATGAATTTCATATTACAAAATCTCTGTGAAATTTGATATAAAAAAAAAATAATGCTTGACCCCACACTTCCTCTATATGTTTCTATGATAGGATGCTTGTATTTGTATCAATGTATGATAACCATCATATCCAAGTTTACAGAATCCATTGCCATATGTATGCTATAACTAAAGTGGTTGTAAACCCTTACATAAACCCAGTGAAGTCACTGGCGTCAGGTGAGATGAAAAATCCTGCATAAGTTGTATCTGTTTATCTGCAGTCTTCTCTCCATCTGTTGAAAGTCCAGAATTTATACAGCTTGTCTGACCTTTCAGAAAGCAGGGCAGTGAGAGCTGATTGGAGGGTAAGGACAACACCCAACCCCTTCACAAATCACACAGGAACAGAGCTGAGGCTGTCAATCACAAGCTGTGTGCTGAGCTCCCTTCCCTGTCACCTTTTTTTTCTCTTGATGTCATGAAAACTTATCAGAAGTTATTCATGGGTATAGCAGAGGAGCAAGGCAGCAGACAGAAATGACACTTAGTGATCTGGAATAAGAAAAGTACACGCTATAGAGGAATATGCCTTGTTCTTATTTCATGTCTGAGGTTTACAACCACATTAACACCTTCCCGCCGGCGCCTCCCGGCCCTTTAAGAGTTTCAGACGCCGAGAGGTGGGGCGTGGTTTAGGGATCATGTGACCGCCGTGACGCGTCGTCACGGTGGTCACATGATCGGGAAAGGTCCTGATCGAAAGGGAGAACCGGGACCTCTCTGTGAGTACCGCACACGTGTGCTGGGAGCGCGCAGGGCGCACGCTCTCAGCACATATGTTTTTTGTTACATGAACGCAAATGTGCAGCCGCTCAGCGTCTAGGCCCAGACGCCAGGAGGCCGCACATTTGTGTGGGTGGCACTGACTGGCACTGTTAGTTGGCACTGACGCGCACTGATAGGCGGCACTGACACGCACTGATAGGTGGCACTGACTGGCACTGATAGGCGGCACTGACTGGCACTGATAGGTGGCACTCATTGGCAGCACTGATAGGTGGCACTGATTGGCATTGATAGGTGGCACTGACTGGCACTAATGGGTGACACTGAAGGGCAGCTCAGATGGGCACTGATATGTGGCATTGATGTGCACTGGTATGTGGCATTGATGTGGCACTGATGGGCACTGGCACGTGGCACTGTTCAGCACTGACAGCTGGCACTTCTGGGGCCACACTGATCATAAGGGCACACTGATCATCAGTGCCCTGATGATCAGTGTACATGTCCCCTCCGCGAAATGCCGATTACTGGCTCTCCTCTCCTCTCAAGCTGTCAGCGTGACAGCTTGAGAGGAGAGAAATGCCAATAACCGGCTGTTTACATGTCATCAGCTGTGATTGGACACAGCTGATCACATGACCGAGCCGACATCTTCGGCTCTTTCCGTGGATCGGTGATCCGCTGTGTCCGAGGGACACAGAGCACCGCCGATTGCTGCGCTGCGTGCTCCCTGAGTCGTGCATGCGCAGTGAGAATGGAAGGCCGTCAAAAAACGGCCTATCAGAACGAGAGAACCACCTTGCGCCCGTCATTGGACTATATGGCGGGCGGGAGGTGGTTAGCTAAAAATATTGAATTTTTTTTTGTGTTTGTTTGTTTTGTTCATTAAAATGTAACACTTTTCAAAAGTGCAAAATAAAAAAAATTAAAAAAACAGCTTATTTCATTTGTAAATACCTTTTTAATGCTTTTTACCAGAATCATAATTTTAGTTTCACTTTGAAAAAATTACAGAATAAAATGCACTTTAAACTGCAGTAACACTATTTATTTTTAAACTAACATTGGTCACAAAAAGAAAAAGCACATTTTGTTTAGTTCTGTTACATTTTATTGCCTAAAAGTTGCAAAAAAAAAAAAAATTGTTTCTAGACATTATTTACAAAAAAAGAATTGCTTGTCCTTAAAAACAATATACTGTAGTTGTTTCCTTGTTGTCTTAAGTAATGACAAAGTTTATGCCAAGTCCATAGTAGAATTGGCAAAATCTCTATGGTCCCTGGGTGAACAGGTGTGAAAGGAAAAATGGTTAAACTGGGTTTCTTCTTTTATACTCCCCCAGGCAAATTAATTTGAGGGGGAGCAAAAAGAAGACAATTATGAGGACCAGAATTAAAACGAACCTGGTACTTTGTTTTGCATGTGGACCATAGCATTTTTTAAATACATTTTTAAGATACGTCCATTGCTTACAACGATTAACTTTTGTGCTTTATGCTGATGTTTATATATACAGTTGTGTTCAAAATAATAGCAGTGTGCTGAAAAAAGTGAATAAAGCTCAAAATCCTTCTAATAACTTTTATTTCCATACACACAAATGCATTGGGAACACTACACATTCTATTCCAAATCAAAACATGAAGAAAAATATATCAAATTTGTGTTGTTCCTCTAAAAAAAATTGAAGAAAAGTGAGTATTAGACTGTTCAAAAAAATAGCAGTGTTTGTATTCTTCTTTACAAACTCAAACATTCACTATATAAACTGAAAAATGTTTGAAGATTTTGCTTTCCTTTGAATCACTTAATTAATATTTAGTTGTATAAGCACTGTTTCTGAGAACTGCTGTACATCTGTGTTGCATGGAGTCAACCAACTTCTGGCACCTGTGAACAGGTATTCCAGCCCAGGATGATTGGACTACATTCCACAGTTCTTCTCTATTTCTTGGTTTTGCCTCAGAAACTGCATTTTTGATGTCACCCCACAAGTTTTCTACTGGATTAAGATCTGGGGATTGGGCTGGCCACTCCATAACGTCAATCTTGTTGGTCTGGAACCAAGATGTTGCACGTTTACTGGTGTGTTTGGAGTCGTTGTCTTGTTGGAACACCCATTTCAAGGGCATTTCCTCTTCAGCATAAGGCAGCATGACCTCTTCAAGTATTCTGATGTATTCAAACTGATCCATGATCCCTGGTATGCGATAAATAGGCCCAACACCGTAGTATGAGAAACATCCCCATATCATGATGCTTGCGCAACCATGCTTCACTGTCTTCACAGTGTACTGTGGCTTGAATTCAGTGTTTGGGGGTCGTCTGACAAACTGTCTCCGGCCACTAGACCCAAAAAGAACAATCTTACTTTCATCAGTCCACAAAATGTTGCGCCATTTCTCTTTAGGCCAGTCAATGTGCTCTTTGGCAAATTGTAACCTCTTCAGCACATCTTTTTTTCAACAGTGGGACTTTGCGGGGGATTCTTGCAGATAGCTTGGCTTCACATAGGCGTCTTCTAATTGTAACAGTACTCACAGGTAACTTTAGACCTTCTTTGATCTTCCTGGAGCTGATTGTTGGCCGAGTCCTTGCCATTTTGGCTATTCTTCTATCCATCGAATGGTAGTTTTTCGCTTTCTTCCACGTCTTTCAGGTTTTGGTTGCCATTTTAAAGCATTTGCGATCATTTTAGCTGAGCAGCCTATCATTTTCTGCACTTCTTTATATGTTTTCCCCTCTCCAATCATCTTTTTAATCAAGGTACGCTGTTCTTCTGAACAATGTCTGGAACGAACCATTTTCCTCAGATTTCAGAAAGAAATGCACTGTAACCAGCATGTACAACATTTGCAGCCTTCCTTCCTTAAATAAGGGCAATAATTGCTACCTGTTTTTCAAAGAATGAATGACCTCACTAATAGAACTCCACACTGCTATTATTTTGAACATGCCCCTTTCAATTAGTGATTCAATTACACAGAATCAGCAGCATACATGTCATGACTGTTGGGTCTGTTGGATTTCTATTACTCTGCTACACCTGCTAGTAAATTATTTGCCATGTAGAAATATCATTTCTACCAAAAACAGTGATTGATCAGGTTAGTGATGTCTGACTGCTATTATTTTGAACACAAGTGTGTGTGTGTGTGTGTGTGTGTGCCTGTGTGTGTGTGTGTGCTGTGAATGAATGTTTGGATAGATTTTAATTTGGGCAGATAACTGATCCTGATCTGCTTCCCTAAACAGATGGGAGGAAATTAGATAAAACAATGAAGTCTAAAAATGAATATCCTGGAAAAGAATTACACTACAGATTACAGTATGTCCCACTTTTAAAACTGACATACATACGATGCCTTTATGGTGTTTAATGACTTTCTAGATAAGGCTGAAATGAGGCAGGAATCCAAGCATTGTGATTGTAACATAATACTAAGACAATGTCATGAATGAAATGTTGTCTGTTCACTGCTGCGTACAAGCAGAGCGACACCAGGTATGAACATGACTGCACTCTAAAGGCTTGTGTTTGTTGTCAAATGTTGCCTTTCAATGCATTTCAATGTAGCACTGCAAACAAGAAGTGTAAGCATTAAAGTACAAAAATGTAATCTGACAAAACTCTTCTGGTTAATGACGGACCACCTTTATACTAGAAGCTTACTACCCTGAACATATATGGACCAGCCACGCTTATGAAAAGACTTATTTTATTGGTGGCGCATTGTCCATATTTCTCTGATTCTTTATGTTATCACATGTAACTGAATTACTTTAAAAAAATATATATTGAAAGTGAAAATATAGCAAAAGACTTGCATTTGAACTGCAGTACCAGTAATGAAAACGCATCTGAAAAGGAGCTTCTGCGGTTAAGGTTACCCAACAAAAAGCAGGTCAAATGCAGCCACCGAACTGTCGCCAACACTGCATCATTAAAGTGAACGGGAATTTACTAACCTGCATTTAACGTGCATTTCATATGCGCATCCAACTTGTGAAAATACCTGTCTACCGATGCAAGGCAATTTCAATTGCCTTCAACCATCTTTCAATCACAAAAAGGCTTGACAGAAAAAATGCAAATTACCACCAACAGTTTATTTTACTTTCACGTGACCCACAAGTTCGAAACTATAGGTAGTAGATTTTTTTTTTTCTATTTGATTGTTCTTGTGAATAAAAGTTGTGTGAAACTGCTTGAAAACTACCTTATATCGGGAGAGCATAACAGTTATCAGAGGTAAAGAATATCAAGGTATCTCCTCCAGAAGTTAGTCATCTATGCAAAGTAAAGCAATAGCTGGGTAAAGCAGCAATTGATATAATTTACAAAACATGTATATTCAATTTCCAATGTGCTGACAAACAAAAGATATTCAGAATTATGCTTACATTTCATAATGCTCTATATTATCGGCAATAAAACATTAAGAGTGGCAATATACAGTATCTCAATGACAATGTTAACTGTTTCCTACCTTTGATGAATGTCCCAGTACCATTAAATGTCTGCATATTGTGTATATATGAAGGGAACCTAAGCACAAAAAGTGTGAAATAACTTAATTCATAAACAGAAACAAAACAAACAACACAAAACATAAAATCAGTAATAAATATATAATTAGTAATGCAGTTTACAGTAGGTTAAAAAAAGAAATGCTGTCCTACAGAAAATATACTGAATCAGTACAGGCATTTGTGTTCCAGTTCAGCTTTTCTCAAACGGGGTGCCAGGCACCCTGGGATTTGTTGAGGTTTCTTTAGGGGTGCCTTGGCAAAATGTCTAAAAATTGCCTAGAACTTGTATACAAGCCAGCAGGTGGAACAAGCCTGCCTTTTAGTTACTCAAAGCCACAGGTTTTCATTGTGCACCATTACGACCTTCTAGCCGCTGGTATCCTGACAACCAATGACATCATCAGTTGATAAGGAGGATGTCAGTTGTCTGCACAGCATCCTAGTTTGACCCTCCCCTGCCCCTCTCTGTCAGTGCTGGGGTCACATTAGCTCAGTGATGGAGAAAAACTGATGGAGAAGAGAAACACTGGAATTTCAGTACCAATGTGCAAAAGTGTATTTGCTTCAGAAGAATAAATAACCTGGGTATCCTAGATGTGGATGTTGCGGAGTTATATAAAACTATAGAATAATTTTTCACATTTTAGAATGGGGTGTCTCAAGACTGTCCATAATTTTAAAGGTTGCCCCGGGACTGTCCAAAATTTAAAGTGTGCCTTAACTGAAAAAAGGTTGAGAAACACTGGTCTAGTTGAACCATCATGATTGGTCAGTGAACATTAATCTTGACCATGCAATTGTGTTGCTGTTTAACCACCATGATTGGTCAGTGTGAAGCTAACTGGACTATACATTGTTTCAATTTTATGTGCAACACCACTACTCATTCATAGAGCCCAACAGCCTAGACTCCTGGAGTAAGCCTAGTCTAATACACCATAAGCAATTTTCAGAAGCTAAAGGAGAAGTAAAAAGAAGCTGCAATTTACTCAAAAGCTGCTCTGAGGACAGTTTTATCCTCTTTCAAAAAGCTGTTCGTACAACAACCTAACTGTTGTAAATAACTGTTGATCAATAGTGATACACATGAAGGTGGTTTACGTGATTTAGACAGCCCTCGTTAGAATAATATGAGATTAAAAAAATAAAACTTACAAACAGGGGCGGACTGACAACTCATGGGGCCCCCGGGCAATAGGGGATCATGGGGCCCGTGTCCTTGCCCAAACTCAAAAAAGCCTATGAAAAAGGTACCAGGGGCATCTCATGGGGCCCCCTACTGCCCCCGGGCCGTGCCCGAGTTTCCAAATGGTCAGTCCGCCCCTGCTTACAAATAAATCTACTAGTTTCTGTTTACAGCATTTTTTTTCTAATCTCCAAGCCTTCACCGTACATCCCTATGTCCTCTCCTAGTTGACACTTTTAAGATATTTTGTTTACTGACTTAAGTGGGTTTCTAAAGCAGTATTAAACCTTAAATATAAAAACAACCCTTTACAATATTCACCACCCAATTAGTGTAAAATATTTTTTTGCTTTCTTTGTGCCCCCAATCCTTATTTTTATGCCTTTTTTGCCCCTTGCAAGCAATGTTGCCAGCCGTCAGTATTTTTACTGGCAGCCAGTAAAACAGGCATTTTTCTCCTGCCAGTAAATGCCAGTGAAAGGAAAAGGTTGCATGTTAAAAATATGCTTGTGACACCCCGCTCAGTAATCTGCATGCGCACTTCTGGTCCGGAGCTGGCCAAGACCATTTCAGTGCCTGAAACAGTGTGTTTGGGCGGTGCCAGCGGGTGGCGGGTCTCCCAAAGGTGGTGCCTGAGCATGTTATGTGATGTTATGGTGCAAGGGAGCTAAGCAAAGTGGCCAGAGCCTCATGTGTGGGTCTGAGGAACGGAAGCAAGGCAAGATGGGAGCACAACTGTTAGTGCTGTTCGGACTGGACTGAAAGGACCACCTGGCATGGAGAGAGACTGTCAATGTGACTCAGGAGGGGACGTGTCATGTCGGTGAGGTGTCATCACTATCTGTGTTGCTGCACACTGCTGTCAGTGACATTGTGAGTCAATATCGTGTGTGTGCCCTCCCGAGTCCTGTCCCTGAGCTAATTACTATATCAAAAATAAAATAAATATGTTTTTTGCCTTAATATTTACCTTAATTCACATTGCTAATTGCATATTGCATTTGTTTGTAGACAAAATACTGAAATTTGCATTTAGAACTGTAAGTTGTAAACTTTTTGGAAATACCAGTAAAATCGTGGCTGTGCCAGTAAAATATGGATCTTGTATCAGTGAATTTCAATCTGGAAGGTTGGCAACACTGCTTGGAAGTGCTCCTGGCATTTGTGGTAGGGACAGCTGGTGCTATATGGCAGGCATCATGCGTAATTAGGGACTGCTGTCTCTCTGACATTTGTTTCCAGCCAGTGCATGCGCAGTATGGGCTTTTATGATGCACGCACCAGCTGGAATAGTGCCAAATCTCAGAAAAACATCAGCCCTACAGTGCATGCACTGGCCTGACAGTGCCAGCAAGCCCTACAATGCACCTTCTGGCTGGGCACAGTGCCAGGCTGCTGAGAAGCATTGGCTCCACCAGCGGCCCCTACTGGAACAGGGATCTCATTTTTGTATTATAGTTATGCAATACAGCTTGGTAATTTCCCAGCCCACAGCATGTGATTGCACAATTAAGCAGCACCAGACTGATGAAGCCATCACTGTCCTCTATCCCCTGTCAGCATGTTCCTTGTTGACGCATGTGTATGCAACACATTGGATTGGCTCCTTGTGCTGGCCTTCCCTCTTCCCAGACTAAGTTCTACTGCATAGATGATTTACAAGAAAAAGATTCCAAGTCAAATTCAGACAATGATACAAATTCTGAACACCGGTGGCATTTAAAATTACAACTTTGTGTTAATACATAACTGCATTAATTGAACTTTTTAATATCTGTTTGAAGTTGAACTTTGACAGCTTTTCCAAAGAAAAACACCTTTAAAGGATGTTTGCTGACTGATTGTATTCTTCTGCAATTATTTAAGTTTGGAATACTGCTTAAACTGCTGTCTTACTAAATATCCGAGGATCCCTGGGCTGTCTTACAAAGACAAGTGACATTTCCTGTTTTCCTATAAATGCTACCAACTAAGGAAGTTTTTTTTTTTCCAATACTGGCCACAAGGACTCGTGTCTGATGGTTCATGCATTGTTTCCTTAGTGACTTCCCTGAACTTAAAGTGATTGTAAACCTCAGACATGAAATATGAACAAAACATATCCCTCTATAGTGTTTACTTGTCTCAATTAAGAGCACTAAGTGTCATTTTTGTCTACGGCTTAGTTCCTCTGCTATCAGCAGGAATCACTTCTGACAAGTTTTCTTGACAACAAGAGAAAAATGATCACAGGGGAAAGACCTCCAGCAGATTGACAGCCTCAACTTTGTTTCTGTGAGCCATGTGGAGGGGGTGTGTCTCATCTCTCCAATCAGCTCTCAGAGCTCTCCTCACTAAGCACTGCAATGTGTGATTTCAGCTCTACACCCCCTTTATTCCTCAACTCTCAAACAAGCTTTAAAATTGTGCACTTTAAACAGATGCAGAGAAGAGAATACTGCAGACAGACAGGTACAAACTTAGTGTATGTAGGAGGATTTGTTTCATCCCTGTGTATCACCTGAAGCCAGTCACTTCACTGGGTATATGTGAGGATTTGCAACTACTTTAAGGGGAAAGTTTTTTTCCTCTATTCACTAGGGCTCCATTTACATTAGGGCATTTCATATCATGGGCGGAATCGCCGTGATTCTGCCTGCGATTTAAAAACACGCTGTGATAATGTGAAAACTCGCAATTGTGTGTCCAGGTGCCATTCATTTTATCAGCATCTGAAAACACGAGGTGTTTTTGCTGCAATTGCTTGACAAGTGTGCCGCAATCACCCAAACAAAATTGCGTGATGTATGACACCCAAAAATGGTTTGCCACATGTAAAAACTTGCCATGATCGCTGCAAAAACATTCCACATTTTCAAATGCCATTGAAATGAATGTCACCTTGACACGCGTTTTCACATTATCACAGCGTGTGATCATCATGGCAATTCCGCCCAGGATTTGAAATGCCTTAATGTGAATGGAGCCTCACAGTTTTTTTGTGAGGATGAAAAGAAGAAGAAAACTAGAATGTGTAAATGTGGGCATATCTGGCTGGCACAGATGCTGCCAGTGAATCACAGCACTGGAATTTTTCAGAAATGCACTTGACTTTAAAAACTGTTCTAAATCAGTTGTAAGTTGATGGTTAATGATTAATGAGGGCCAATCACCAATGGGCCATTTGTGATAGTATGAGAATCCACTTTTAAACCATAAAAATGGGCTAGTTTTACTGCCCAAAGACTACTTGATTTTTGATTATTTGTATTCTGTCTCTGTCCAAGCAGATGTATCAGGCTGAGCAAGTCAGACAATTACTACACCTGCCTGAGTGTAGTGCTGATAACAGACACTCCAAAAACTGTCATATTTATGGTGCTGTCAGAATAATAAAAAAAAAAAAAAAAAAAAAGAGAGAAAGAGACACTAATGACTGTGTTAAATGTGTTTCACATTGCTCCAGCAGCCTGGAAAGAGTTTATCAGCCCTTATCAGAGGGCTAGTTCACAGCATAAAAAATGCACTCTGTATGCGTTTCTGCTTACAGTTCACACCACACTCCATTCCGGTGCATTTTTGATGAGTTTTTGTTGTGTTCCACCACAGTTCTGTGCAGGAAAAATGCAGCATGTTCTACTTTTTTTCTGCACCAGAAATGCACTGGAACTAACTGCAGTAGTGTGAACTAGGACCATTGGAATACATGGAAAACACTGCATGCATTTTTGATGCAGGATACAAAAAAAACCCCCACTGGACTGCATCTGGTGTGAACTAGCCCAGAGACAGGTTATACTCCATAAGAGCCTAACAGCCTCACACTGGATTGATATGTTAGGTAGAGAATACAATGAAATAACAGCATATGTCTATCCCTAAGAGGAAAGGCTGCAATATTATAACGATTTAATAGTGATAATTTACATTCATACAAATTACTATTCATAATTGGTTCTCTTTAACTGGATTTCTTGGCCACAAGTAAGTAAATACATAAGTCAGCCATTTGAGGCCTCAAAAACATATTGGTTTCCAAACATGGAACACCTTATTTAAATATGCATATTATGATATATATTTCTTTTCCTTCTTTTTGCTTCATGTTTATTCTACATGTAAGATTCATTACTCTATTAGTATTTTCCCTTTACAAATAAGATATAGCACCAGATATATTTTTTTCATAGAGTATTATCATTATGACTACATTAGACACTACTGTTATTTATTGACATGGATATTTGCTCACATAACTGCAAAACTCTGGTAACTAATCATCATGATATACATACCATTGAAAATTAACCAACAGAGATGTTCCTGTGGAAGGACAACCTGCATGATGAGTTGTAGAAAAGATAATATGCTAAGGCATTTCTTCACAGATTCCTGGTCTTGAAGATTAGCATCACTTGTCTTCACCAACTGGTACATGCAAATACATCTGCCTTGCAGGGCATGAAACTGAAATAAGCAGGACAATTATATTAGTGAAATATTGCCTTGTTTAGTAAAACATTAACTTGGAATAGTTGCATTAAATCACAAAAGGTAATTGGGGAAGTATGGATATATTTAATATCATAGAAAGGGGACACAGTGGAATGTGTTTTTTTTTTTTTAATCCATTACTGATCTAGGTGGATTTCTATAAAAGTAAAGCTCATTCCCCTCTGGGTGATCTATGTACATTGCAAGGATTTTAACAAAATTTGTTTCAGATTCCTACCGTTTGTTATTTTGAAGAAATAACTGTTTGTCTGTGTCCATATATAAGTGAATGTGACTAAGAATGACTATATAATTATCAATCAGCTGCTGTAATTGCAGGGTTCTAATGAAGAAAGTAGCAGGGTCTGAATCCCTTTAGAAATTACTTCCCTTTGGGAATATCTTCCCCCCCAAAATATTTTTTGTTGTGGAGGATGCCCAAAATCTGACTTGATCTTTAGTGCAGACGTTTGGGAAAATTTCTAAGCTAATCACACAAGCATCAATTGACATTATGGGGGGGGGGGGGGTTCATACGCCATCTGTGTACAGAACATCTCCAGGTTGCCATAATGCATTGCATTTTACATAAAAGGACAGTACTGCAGATTGAAAAGAAAAGGTTATTTTTAATAACCTTCAATTACAATATGATTTGCATAGAGG